AACACTACTGGCCCCGGCGCACCGCGCAAATAACCAGGGTTAGGGTTTAGGGTTTAGGGTTTAGGGTTTATTGTGGTTGCAGGAGAGAAGCAAGTTGTCCTGTTTAGCCCGAACCTCCGCCACAACGTACAGGGAGTAAGGGTTTATTTATTAGGGTTTAGGGTTTTGAAGCTCAAGGTTGTAGACATGTCTCGGTGATGCTCCTGAACTAATCAGGCTCGCAGGCTTGCGCCTGCTGCATCGCAAAAGCTATAAGGTTTAGGGTTTAGGGTTTAGGGTTTAGGGTTTAGGGTTTAGGGTTTAGGGTTTGTGTGCAGGAGCTGCGGGACCCGGATGCAATCAGGCTGTCTCTGCTGCAGTGGCTGCAGGCGACGTTTAAAGATGAAGCGAGGGCTCGTGATGCCGATCCGCAGCTGCTGCATTTGCTGCTGCAGCCTTCTGCTGCTGCTGCAGCAGCAGCAGCAGCAGACCAAACCCAAACATCACCCGATAAAAAACGAATGCTCACGCAGCAGGAAGCAGCAACCACCGTTATTGCTGCTGCTGCACTTCAGCTACAAGAACCGGGACTAAGCAAAAGTATGCTGCTGCTGGCTGCTGCTGCTGCTGGCTGCTGTTGTTGCTGCTGCTGCTGCTGTTGTTGCTGCTGGCTGCTGTTGCTGCTGCTCGTATTGCTGCAACAGCTTCCGTTTGCTTGATGTGTGGCAACTCTGCATGGGGTCGTTTGTCGCTTGCTGCTGCTAACAGTTACTGTCTGCTGCTGCTGTTGCTGCTGCTGCTGTTGCTGCTGCAGCATTTAGCCGCCTTTTTGGAGGCACTCCTTCTTATCATTCGGAGACGTCGCTGCATACTCCGGAGCAGCAGACGTTGCTGTCAGCAGAACTTGGTGCTGCTCATGTTGCAGCTGCTGCAGCAGCAGCAGCAGCAGGGAGCCCTGATGGAGGCAGCAACAGTCTGCAGCAGCAGCTGCTGCGGCACGACAGCCTGGGGCAGCTGCGGGGCTCCCCGTCAGCAGCAGATCATTCTTACCTGGGTTCGCCTTCTTCTCCATTGTCTCCGTTGCAGCAGCAGCTGCAGCAGCAACTGCAGCAGCAGCAGCAGCACCAAGGTTGGCGGATCGTGCAGCCTGAACGACCCGGCGCCGCCGCTGCAGCAGCAGCAGCAGCAGCAGCAGCAGATGAGGACGGGGAACAAGAAGTTGCTGATTTATCTACTGATCTTGATGATGTTGCTGCTTCTTTAAAAGTGCAGCAGCACCTCCCAGATTTGCTGTTGCGGCAGGCAGACAGAATTGATCGCAACGCCTGGATGGCTGACCTCCCAGCGCTGCTAGGCAGCCCCAGAGAGCAGCAGCAGCAGCAGCAGAGGCAGCAGCAGCAGGGGCGAGGGCAGCAGCAGCAGCACCAGCAGCAGCAGCAGCAGCATGCGGGAATGCTTATGCACCCCAGAGCGGCAGCGCTAACCCCTTATACACCTGCAGCTAGAGCTGCAGCAACGCCTGCCGCAGCAGCAGGAGGTGCTGCTTCTCCTGCTGCAGCAGCTGCCTCCCCTGCTGCTGGTGAACAGTCTGCTGCTGCAGAGACAGTTGAAGACAGACGGCGTAGCTCAGCTGCTGGAGGCGAGAAGCAAACAGCAGCAGCAGAAGGCCCCTCGCTAAGTGCGTACAGCAGCAAATAGAGACATGCTTCCACAGCATGCAATCCTCTCCTGCTGCTGCTGCTGCTTATGTTGCTGTTGCTGCTTCTGGTGCCACTTGTGTTGTTGCTGCTGCTGCTATTGCTGCTGCTGCTGCTGCTGCGACTTGCTTTGCTGCTGGTGCGGGCGATGTGAGCGCAGCAAGTGAGGCCCCCGAAGGCGTCCTTCAGCGAACGCGCAACAGCAACAGCAGCAGCAGCAGCAGCAGCAGCAGCAGCAGCAGCAGCAACGGGGGTTTGTATGGTGAGTGTCTGGTGCATGCGCACACCTTTCCTCACCTCAGCAGCAGGTACATCAGCGGCAGCAGCAAAAGCAGCAGCAGCAGCAGCAGCAGCGCGGAGCTTCCCCTTGTGCATCGTTTGTCTGTCCCTGCATTAACATCTACTAACTCTCTCTTAGGACCTCCGCATTACTCTGAAAAGCATTTATTAGGTGTAGAGATAACAGAGCTCTCTTTAGGGTTGGGAAGAAGAGCAGCAGATCTGGTGCGCAGGCTGCGCAGCAGCAACAGCAGCAGCAGCAGCAGCAGCAGCAGCAGCAGCAGCACTGCTGCAACGCGTGAGGAAGAAGAGAGGATGGCTGCTGCTGCTGTAGAAGAAGTTGAAGCAACTGCGATGCTGCTGCGGCAGCTGCTAGAGGCGCAGCAGCATGGGAACGATGTCCGTGTACACTTGCTGCTGCAGCAGGCAGCAAAGGCTGCTGCTGCTGCTGCTGCTAACAGCAGCAGTAGCAGCAGTACCTCAATGGCACACCCTACGAAAGGAAACTCATGGGGATATCTTGTGAGCCTCCACGCTCCTCTAGGGTTTAGGGTTTAGGGTTTAGGGTTTAGATTAGACGGTTTGGGCGGGTGGTGCATTGCCTGGCACAGGAATTTAGGGTTTAGGGTTTAGGGTTTAGTGTTTGTCTGGCTGACGCGGAAGGGTTTAGGGTTTAGAGTTTACTCGGATGGATTATGCGGGTTTAGAGTTTAGGGTTTAGTGCTTTTCGCTGTTGGATTGAAAGGGTTTAGGGTTTAGGGTTTAGGGTTTAGGGTTTGCAGAGTCTGCCGCAGGGTTTGCTGCCTCGCCTGAGGCGATCCGATACCCTAAAGAACATTAGCACTTTGCTGCAGCCACTACGAAGACAAACAACAGGTAAGGGTTTAGGGTTTAGGGTTTATGGAGTGAGGTGCTTGAAATGAATAGGGTTTAGGGTTTAGGGTTTAGGGTTTAGGGTTTTGCGGGTTTGTTTGCTGCAGCGCCTGTAGAAATGGGGGCCTCCAGAAGCTTCCCTTTAAGAAGCATCTACAGCTTCGACCAGCAGCGGCAGCAGCAGCAGCAGCCGCTGCTGCAGGAGCAAAGAAGAAGGAGCTCAGGAGACAAGCAACCTGCAGCAGACGAGGAAGACATCAGAAGCCGCAGCAGCCCCTGTTTTCCTGCCGCTAACGATAGATATGAACGCAGCAGCAGCAGCAGCAGCAGCAGCGCCAGCAGCAGCAGCAGTAGCAGCAGCAGCAGCAGCAGTAGCATGTGGGTCAGCGCCAGTGCCCCCGCGCTCAGCATCCGGGAAGGAGACCAACAGCAGCAGAAGCAGCAGCAGCAGCCACAGCAGCAGCAGCAACAACAACAGCAGCAACAGCAACAGCAGCAGCAGCAGCAGCAGTGGCAGCAGCAAACGGATTTGAAACGCGCAGTGATTGCGGCCGCAGCAGAAGACACCCCCGCAGCTCCAGCAGCAGCAGCAGCAACAGAAGCAGAGCGTGCAAGGAGCCTTGGTAGAGCCGCAGATGAAGGCAGCAGCAGCAACAATATCTCGGGCGTCTCTGACGACGCCGCAGCAAGTGCAGCAGCAACATCTGCTGCTGCTGCTTCTGCTGCTCGCGACAAAAGGAGACAACGTTGCCGCATGCCTTCGCTGTCTCCCCCGTCTCCTTTCACCCGCATCAACGTAGAGCATGCAGAGGGACAGCAGCAACAGCGGCAGCAGCAGCAGCAACAGCAGCAGCAGCAGCAGCAGCAACAGCAGCAACAGCAGCAGCAGCAACAGCAGCAGCAGCAAGGGGAGCGTGTGGCCCACGGGAGGCGCAAATTTAAAACTGCTGCATATTTGCCGAAGAAGAAGGACAAGGTTTCATCAGCAGCAGCAGCACCAGCAGCAGCAGCAGCGCCAGCAGCAGCAGCAGCAGCAGCAGCAGCAGCAGGTTCAGGGGACCCTTCTGAGAGTCTCTTTTCTTACAGGGATATCGACCACCGCGAGGCGCATCCGACAGAAGTGCTGCCTACAATTCAGGTGCGTCCTCTAGCAGCTAGCTAGCTAGCTAGCTAGCTAGCTAGCTAGCTAACCAGCTAGCTAGCTAGCTAGCTGGGTAGCTCCATTGTGTCTGTGTACAGCTGCTAGCTGCTGCTGCTGCTGAGACATCGTATTATGAAGAGCGTTTGTTTTTCGCTGCTGCTGTGGATAGTGGTGTATCTGCTGCTGCTATAACTGCTGCCTCTGTAACTGCTTTGCTGTTGCTGCTGTAACTGCTGCTCTTTCTGCTGCTGTAACTGCTGCTCTTGCTGCTGCTCTTGCTGCTTCTGCTGCTGCTGCTGCTGCTGCAGGTGACGTATGCAGAGACAACGCCTGCGGAGGATAGGTGTAGATACAGTGGTAGCCCTGTGTTAATCCCGCAAGTAAATGTGTTTAGAAACAAGTGGTTTAAGAAGCACCATATTATTATATCAAAGGCATTGCTAGGGGCTCTTGTCTCTTTTGCTGCTGCTTCTGTGCTCATGCATCTTGTCTAGCTGCTGCTCTTGCGGCTGCTGCAGCTGCGGCTGCTTAAGCTCCAGCTGCTGCTGCTGTTGCTGCAGCTGAATCTCCGTCGCCTGCTGCTTTTACTCATCGAATAAGGCAGCAGCAGGTGCTGTTGCAGCAGCTACTGCTGCTGCTTTCTTTGTATAGATTCATGCGTGCACCTTCTTGCTGCTGCAGCAGCGACTGCTGCTGCAGCAGCAGCAGCAGTTGCTGCAGCAACTGCTTTTTGACTGGGTTTGTTTGCTTGTGAGGCGGGAGACAAGAATAGCTGTAGATAGATATAGAAAGGAGACGCATAAAATAACAACAAATAGACAAAAAGATAAGGAGACAGAGAGGGATTCCGCCAAGCCTTCAGTCTAGGGTTTAGGGTTTATGCCCAAGAAGGGTTTAGGGTTTTAGGGTTTAGGGTTTAGGGTTTAGTGTTTACGGTTCAGGGTTTAGCGTTCACGGACTAGGGTTTGTTGTTCAGGGTTCGCGGTTTACAGTTTAGCCTGCAGGGTTTAGGGTTTAGGGTTTACTGTGCAGGGTTCAGGGTTTAGCGCTTTTAGGGTTTAGTGTTCAGGGTTTAGGGTTTCGGGTTTAGGGTTTAGGGTTTGGTGGGCAAGGCCTACTATTACACCAATGGTGACCTGGCGGCTTTAAGGCTTCCTGTTGAGGGTTTGTGATTTGCTGTGGGGGCGACTTCCATGTTTTCTGACGTTTAGGGTTTAGGGTTTAGGGTTTAGGGTTTAGGCTTTGGGGCCTAGGGTTTAGGGTTTAGGGTTTAGGGTTTAGGCTCGATGTAGATCTGCAGCAGCGGCCTCCGACACAGCAGTCGCTGCTCAGCATAGCCAGTAAGCAGTGCTGTCCCTCTCTAATAAGTTAGGGTTTAGGGTTTAGTGTTTAGCGTTTTAGGATTTAGGATCTAGGGTTTAGGGTTTAGGGTTTAGGGTTTAGGGTTTAGGCCGTCGTGAGGCCCCAGGGTCACTTGCGCACCCGCGGGGCCCGCAGCCCTTCGTTATGAAGTTTTGTTGTTTTGTCTACAAAATAAAAACAAATTGATTTAAACTGTTGACGTATTTACTTCTTTTTAACTGGGTTGAGGGTTTAGGGTTTAGAGGCTAGGGTTTAGGGTTTAGTTGTAGGAGTTCCGCTCCCTAGAGAGGGATGCCGACCTACGGCAGATGCAGCACTCCCTAAACCCTAAACCCTAAACCCTAAACCCTAAACCTGAAGTTTTAGATCTTCCTGCTCTTTCAGCTCTCCCTTTTTCACTAGTTGTTGGAAGGCGTAAACCCTAAACCCTAAACCCTAATGTTTCCTTATGCCGGGGGTCACCTTCTTCGTGATAAGCATCAGCGGATTGTGTGTATCGATTAGGGTTTAGGGTTTAGGGTTTAGGGTTTGGCGGCATTCAAGATGGAGGCATCTCAGGGTTGTGAGTTGTGGGTATTGGTAAGCTGTCTTTATCTGTTTATTAGCTTCAGGCTCCTCTAGGGTTTGCGAGGGTTTAGGGTTTAGGGTTTAGGGTTTAGGGTTTAGGGTTTAGGGTTTAGGGTTTGGGTTGTTCAGGTGCAAGAGCCCCCAGCACCCTGGGCCCCAGCAGATGCAGAAACCCTCGACCCCGAGGAGCAGCGGGTAGAAGCAGCACTCGCTGTCTCCAAGGTGGCTGTGCTGCTGGTGCTAAAGAGGTCTATGAAGGCTATCGCGCTGCTGCAGCAGCAACAGCAACAGCAACAGCAGCAGCAGCAGCAGCAGCAGGCCCACATAAAGGGAGACACAGCAACCCCCGCCAGGCTTGCGTTGCCCCCTGCAGCAGGAGACAGCAAACAACCAGCTAATGCTGCTCCTGTTGTTGCTGCTGCTGCTGCTGCTGTTCCCGCAGCCGAATCTGCTGCAGTGGGCGGCCCCCATGCAACAGCAGCAGGAGGAGCCCAAGAAACAACTGGGAGCTCTGATTCAGTTGGCTCTCGCAGCAGGTCTGCTGTTGCTGGTGGTGCTGCTGCTGCCGGTACAGCAGCAGCACCACCACCAACTGCAGCAGCAGCAGCAGCAGCAGCAGCAACAGGTCATATATCTCGTCATGGGGGTTCCCACGGGGGGCGTGGAGGCCCTTTGCATGCATTTACCTTCCGTGCGTTCGAAGGATATGTATCTGATAAACTTAAAACCATCTTCCAGAGGTCCCCTCAGCAGCAGCAGCAGCAGCAGCAGCAGCAGCAGCAGCAGCAGCAGCAGCACTCTCGACTGTGGCAGGTGCTGGCTGGGTCGGGGGGCCCCACATCCTTTGGGGGGGTCGCACCTCCACCTGGCTCTTATCGTAACTCAGCAGCAAACGCAAGAACAGCAGACAAGCAGACGAAGCTGCTGCTGCAGCAACAGCAGCAGCTGCTGCTGCTGCAGCAGCAGAAGCTTGCTGCAGCACGAGCTGCTGCTGCAGCAAGAGCAGCTGCACGCAGGAACCATTATGCCTTCTCCGGTGTATCAGCGGACCCTGATGAGGAGGGCCCAGGGTTGCATCTGTCTCCTGCTGCTGAAGCTGCTGCTCTTGCTGCAGCAGCAAACCTAGACAGCAATACAGAGGACCCCATTGATGCTGATGATGAGGCATGTGCAGCAGCAGCAGCTGCTGCTGCTGCTGCTTCAGGAAGAGTTGTCTCCCTTGCAACAACTGGGGCTTTAAACCTTCGTTTTCTCCTTGAAACAGCTCAACCAGCAGCAGCAGCAGCAGCAGGAACAGCTGTTGCTGCTGCTGCTGCTGTTGCTGCTGCAGCCGAGCATACAGCAACAAATGTGCAGCAGCAGAACTTTCAGGTGCATACCCTTGAATTCTCTCTGGATAAACTCTTTTGTCAGCGTGAGTTGCTGCTGTTGCTGTTGCTACTGCTGCTGCTGCTGCTCCTGTTTGTGTTGCAGCCGGTGCTGTTTCTGCTGCTGCTCCTCTCCATGCCTTTTTTGCTGCTGCTGGTTGTGCTACTTGTGCGCTCGTTGCTGCTGTTGCCGCTGCTGCTGCTTCCATTCCTGCTCTGGGTTTACTTGCTGCTGTATCAGCTCCTGCTGCTGTTGCTGCTGCTGCTGCCCATACTATTCTGCAGCTGTAGTTGTACGCCGTGCGGCGCGTTGCTGTTGCTGTTGTTTCTGCTCCTGCAGCAGCTGCTACAGCAACTGTTCGCTGCAGTGTAGCGTGTCGCTGTTACCCGTGGCGCTGTAGCTGCTGCTGCTGCTGCAGCAGCATCTGCTGCAGTTGCTGCTGCTGCTGCTGTTTGTGTGTTTGCATTTAGCTGGCAGCCTGCCCTTAGCTTCTCCTGCAGCAGCAGCAGAAGAGCAGTCTTCACACTCCTTAGAAAAATTCTTCGAGTGGTTGCTGCGGCAGCTGCTGCCGCGGTGGCGTAGGACTCATGAAGCAGCAGCAGCAGCAGCAGCAAAGCACTCTCCAGCACTCACGCATCATCGTCATCATCATCATCATCAGGAGCAGCAGCAGCAGCAGGAGCAGCAGCAGCAGCAGCAGCAGCATAGTGGAGACAAGGTCGAGGCTGAGGAGGAAGGAGGCCCAGCCGACTCTCCTCTCTCCCCCAGAACCAGCAGCAGCAACAGCAGCAGCAGCAGCAGCAGCAGCAGTTTACACCAGCGCATGCACGCTTCTCTGCAGGAGACTATAAAGCTGCATGCACAGAAGCCATCGGGGTGTCTCTGTGTGGTGGAATTTCTTTCTGCTGCTGCTGCAGATGAATCGTTCTTAGATGGGAGTGGAGGTCAGCCTGCTGCTGCTGCTGCTGCTCCTGTTGCTGCTGCTGCTGAGGTTGCCTTTGCTGCTGCTGCTGCTCCTGGCGCTGCTGCTGCTGTTTCGGTTGCCTCTCTGTTGCTGCTGGTTCTTTTCTTGTTGCTGCTGCTGTTGTTGCTGCTGCTGCTGCGTGTGTTGTTTGGTTTTCTTCTGCTGCTGCTGCTTTTTGCTGTTGCCTGTTGCTGCAGCACCTGCTTATTGTCTTTTTTTTGCTTTTTATTCAGAGACAGCGGAGGCGCATGCATCCTTGCTGGACGTCCTCTCGCTGCTGCTGCCCCGCAGCAGCAGCAGAGACAGCAGCATTAGAGACAGCCGCAACCGGGACAGCAGCAGGCTGAATAACAGCAGCATACTCTATCCTGATCTCAGCACCTGCAGCTGCAGCAGCACAATCACCACCATCAACAACAGCAACAGCAGCAGCAGCAGCGGCAACAGCAGCAGCAGCAGTAGCAGCGGTGGCAGCAGCAGCAGCAGCGGTGGCAGCAGCAATAGTGAGGCAGCGGAAGCACCAGCAACAGCAGCAGCAGCAACAGCAGCAGCAGCAAATGCGTCCGAGGCAGCAGACTCAAAGCCCCAACGAATTTGTGGGGTGTCAATTGGCTGCTTACAAATTAAAAACAAAACCATCAGGCGAGTCTAAACCCTAAACCCTAAACCCTAAACCCTCAATACACAGATGGCCTCCTGCTACCTCCAGAATTAGGGTTTAGGGTTTAGGGTTTAGGGATTAGGGTTTAGAGCCAGTGATGCGGGGTTATTTGCATCCAGGGACCTGTTTGCGCTCCCGCGTTGCTGGCAGCACGAGGCCCTCCAACAGCAGCAGCAGCAGCAGCAGCAGCAGGCGTTTGCTGCGGGTGTTGCTGAGAGCGCTGCTACGAGCAGCAAAGGAGACACTCAAACGGTGGAGACACTTAACTGTCTCCCTTTACCTTGGGAGCCTTCATATAATGAAACGCCGTACCCTTGTCGGTGCTGCCACGCTGTCTTCCACCCCTACTGCAGCAGCAGCAGCAGCAGCAGCAGCAGCAGCAGGGCCTGCTGCCGACTTCCACATGCTGCACGTGACCTTAACGCATTTGCTGCTGCAGCAGCGACGCATCCTCGCAGCTACCTAAGGCTGCTGCAGCACCCCACACTTGGTCTCTTGCTGCCGCAAGACATGGCAAGCCACCTCCTTTTGCTGCCGCTGTTGTTGCTGCTGCTGCTGCTGCTGCTGCTTCAGGTGTTGTTGCTGCTATTCATGTGAATTGGCTGCGGCGTGGTTCGTCAGCTGGTGCTGCTGCTGCTGTCGCTGCTGCTGCTGCTGGCGGTTTGCTGTACCTTGCAGAATTCCAACCCGCTCCTGCTTCTGCTGCTGCTGCTGCTGCTGCAGGTGAAGGTTGAGAGCGTGGAGGAGGCTCGTTTGCTGCTGAATTACGTGCTGCACTTAAGGAGCCTCCAAGGCAGCAGGGGGCCCCTGGGGGGCCCCGGTGTCAGTGAGGGCCCCCATTATATCTACTTCATTAGGACTGCTTGGGTGCGCAGCAGCAGCAGCAGCAGCAACAGTAGCAGCAGCAGTAGCAGCAGCAATGCCAGCAGAAGCAGCAGCGTCACGATCAGCAGTAGCAGCAGCACCTGCAACAACAACACCAGCACGAGCACCACCATCTACAGCAGTAGCAGCAGCAGAAGCAGCAGCACCAGCAGTAGCAGCAGCAGCAGCAGCAGCAGAAGCACATGTGTCTGCAGTGTCTGTACAGATGCTGGAGGACGGCAGCATCACTTACAATGATATTCGCTACTGTCTCCTCTGTCCCCCCTCAACTCTGCATGTGCCTTCTAAACCCCTAAACCAGCAGCAGCAGCAGCAGCAGCAACAGCAGCAGCAGCAGCAGCAGCAGCAGCAGGGACCAGAGTTAGAGGAAGATATTAGTTGTATGAAGTCTCCCTGGCGAGAGGTGAACTCTCATTAAATGCATGCACTGCAACGAATAACTCTAAACCCTAAACCCTAAACCCTAAACCCTGAACCCTAAACCCTTACGCCGAACCAGCAGATATCTAACCTTCATCTACACCCCTGTGGGCTGTCCGCTAGGGTTTAGGGCTTAGGGTTTAGGGTTTATGTTAGTGTTTGCGTTCGTCAGACACTGCAGCTTTTCCAGCTGCCTCCGTTGGCTCTAGCGAAGAAGGAAGCAGCAGCAACAGCAACAGCAACAGCAACAGCAACAGCAACAGCAACAGCAACAGCAGCAACAGCAGCAGACGCTCCTGCTCAAGGGAATGACAGCAGCAGCACCCTTGGATGGCTGTTGCGTCTGCTGCTGGAAGAAGCCACTCAGACCATCGTATCCTAAACCCTAAACCCTAAACCCTAAACCCTAAGCCCTAAACCCTTATTAGTAATCTTTTGAACGAAAGTCAAAATGCAAATTGCATCCTACGAAGCTGCTGCTGCTGCTTCTGCTGCTGCTTCTTCTTCTTCTGCTGCTGCCGCTGGTGTTGATGCTGCTGCTGATGGTGGTGTTGCTGTTGCTGCTGCTTCTGTTTGCTGCTGCTGCTGCTGCTGCTGCTGTTTGCTGCTGTTGCAGCTGCTGACGAGCATACGTTCTCCTACTAGCTTGGAAGATTCTCTTTTGTGTCTCCAAGTAGCAGATACACTCAAACGGTTTTGCATGCGACCCAAGTAAGTGCAGCAGCAGCAGCAGCAGCAGCAGCAGCAGCAGCTGCTCCAGCTTCTGTCATTTTTCTGCTGCTGCTGGTGGTGCCGTTGGTGTTTTGCTGCTGCTGCCTCTTTACCTCGGCAGCTGCTCTAAAAGGGATTGTTGTTTTCGAGCTTACTGTTTAGGGTTTAGGGTTTAGGGTTTAGGGTGCTTAGGGTTTAGGGTTATAGACAGATGCAATTTGCTGCTCTTTTGCTGCTCGTCACTGCAGAGGCCCCCAGCGCATGCAGACACCGAAACCGGCAGCAGCAAAAGTCGCTCAACTCGTATTGGAAGCCTTCTCCCAGCAGCAGCAGCAGCAACAGCAGCAACAGCATGAGCAGCAGCAGCAGCAGCAAGAGCAGCAGCAGCAGCAGCAGGACACAAGACAGAAGCTTCTGGTCAGTCGTGTTCAACGAATTGCAACTCTTGAAGTGCACAGGCCAAGCGCAGCAGCCATTTGCTTCCCAAGAATTAGGGTTTAGGGTTTAGGGTTTAGGGTTTAGGGTTTGGGGTGTACGTGCAGCCAGAGGTGTTGGAGCGACTGCGCGCAGCGTCTGCCTTGGCGTCTCCGTTGTCCCTTCATGCGCTGCTTCTAGAGCAATTGTCGCTTAAAAGAAAACGAGAAGAAGGCGAACAACTAATGCAAAAGGAGACAGATGCTTCCGATCCGCAGCAGCAGCAGCAACAGCAGCAACAGCAGCACCAGCAGCAGCAACAGCAGCAACAGCTGGAGAGGCAGAAGGAGCCAGAACCAAGCTCCCAGTGCAGCAGCAGCAGCAGCAGCAGCAGTGGAGGGGAGACTGAGGAGGTAGAAGCAGCGGGGCGAGCCCTGTTGTTGCTGCAGCAGCAGCATCCTTCTTGCTGTTTGCTGTTGTCTCCTGCTGCTGCAGCAACAGCAACAGCGCTGCAGCGGCTTGCAGATGCCTTAGAGGGCCTCAAAATCGTGAAGCCACCAGGCCTGTACAACTCCGGTGCCAGCAGCAGCAGCAGCAGCACTAACAGCAGCAGTAACAGCAGCAGTAGTAGTAGTAGCAGCAGCAGCAGCAGTAGTAGCAGCAGCAGCAGCAACAGTGGCAGCAGCAGCAGCACAGACACTGCAGCAAAGGCTCTAAGGATCTGCCCCCCCATTATATCTGCTGCTGCTGAGGCTCGCAGCCGCAAGCTGACATTTTCTAAACCCGAGTTCCACCTGGAAGTCCTAGGAGGAGTAAACCCTAAACCCTAAACCCTAAACCCTAAACCCTAAACCCACCTCTTTCTGGTGAAGGCCATTTTCTTCAACGGCTTGTCAGAGTGAACGAAAGCAGCAGCAGCAGCTGCTGCTGCTGCTGCTGGTGTTGCTGCTGTTGCTTGCGTTTCTGGCGTTGATATTTTGTAGGACAGTTGTTGCTGCATTTTCTGTTGCTGCTGCTGTTTCTGCTGCTGCTGCTGCTGCTGCAGGTGGGGTGTCCCTCTTCTTATTACAGTTTACCTGCTGCAATACTTACTGCGCGTCTGCCTGTTGCTGCAGCAGCACCTGCAGGAGCAGGAAAACTATCAGCAGCAAATCCCGCAGCAGCAAATGCAGCAGCAGCAAATGCAGCAGCAGCAACAAAAGTGCTTCACCAGCAGCACTTCTTCGTAGGGTCTAGCGAGGAATTCGCGAGTATCTGCTTTGTGCTGCCCTGCTGTCCTTCTATTGTGCTGTCTCTACACCCTCACCGTATGGGGACGAGGAGACACCCCACACCTTCTGTTACAGCAACCTGCATTCTTGGAGATGCAGTAGCAGTACCTGCTGCTGCTGCTGCTGCTGCTGGTACTGGAGCTGCTGCTGCTGCAGCTGCTGCTGCTGCAGGCGTTCGCCAGACCCCACAGCAACAGCTGCACCAGTTGCAGCAGCTGCAGCTGCAGCAGCTGCAGCTGCTACAGCTGCAGCACCAGCGCCAGCTACAGCCTGCTGCAGCAGCAGCAGCAAATGTTCATAACGGAATACTTGGCTGCTCCTTAATTGCTGCCAAGTTGCTTCGCCATCAAAAGGAGACAGCAAAGATAAAAGAAAAAGATTATTATATGAAGAGCAGAAGAGACGCAGCCTCCCGTTGTGAGGAGACAGATGTGCAGGAGCAGCAGCAGAAGATGCTGCTGCTGCAGCAGCAAATACAGGAGGTGCACCACCAAATGGAGGAACTGCAGCAGCTACTAGAGCAGCAGAAGCTACCCCACCAACACCTGCAGCAACAGCAACAGCAACAGCAACAGCAGCAGCAGCAGCAGCACCTAGACGACCCGCAGCAGCAGCAAGAGCAACGAGAAGGCCACGATCAGCAGCAACAGCAGCAGCAGCAGGATGAACAGCAGCAGCAGCAGGAAGATCAGCACCAGCAGCAACAGTCGCAGCAGCAAGAAGACCCGCAACACGAGCAGCAGCAACAGCAGTTGTTGCTGCTGGAACGGGAAGAAGACCCGCAGCAACAGCAGCAGCAGCAGCAGCAGCAGCAGCAGCCGGATGGCCAGCAGCAACAGCAACATTCCCAGAAGGAAGACCAACATTGCCAGGAGGAACAGCAGGAGGAGGAGGAGCAGGAGCAGCAGCAGGAGCAGCAGCAGGAGCAGCAGCAGGAGCAGCAGCAGGAGCAGCAGCAGGAGCAGCAGCAAGAGCAGCAGCAGAAGCAGCAGCAGCAGCAGCTAGCGGCTTGCATAGGCGACCCTGTTGCTAGGCCTTGTTGGGTTTTGAAAGGCTTAGAGAGAGAGGAGACCATCGATTTGCTGCACGGCGATGTTTTGCTGCTGCAGCTGCAGCAGCAGCTGCTGCTGCTGCGTATCTATGAGAAGAAAGAAGAAGAAAGAGAAGCTGCTGCTGCTGCAGCACAAGGCCTCACCAGAAAGCAAAGAAGTGCTGCGCTTTATAAGTCTCTTCTTGTCAGTGTTTTGCTTGCTGCTGTCCCTTCTTCTGTCTCCTCCTCTGTCTCCTTCTCTGTCTCTTGCTGTATATTTCTGTCTCCTTCTCTGTCTCTTGCTGTATATTTCTGTCTCCTTCTCTGTCTCTTGCTGTATATTTCTGTCTCCTTCTCTGTCTCCTTCTGTCTCTTCCGGGCTCTCTGTTTGTCTTTGTCTTTCTGTCTGTCCGTATGTTCGTATATATATATATATATGTATTATTGTATACATGCATATGTATATATATATATATATATATATATGTATACATGCATATGTATATATATATATATATACGTATATATATACATATATGTATATATTTTCTCGCTGTCTCTGTCTTTTTGTTTGTCTCTCTCCTGCGCATTCTGTCTGCGTGTGTGTGCGTATACCTGTTTTTGTCTCTGTCTCTGTCTTTGTCTCTCTCTCTCTCTCTGTCTCTTTCTGTCTCTTTCTGTCTCTGTCTCTTTTACTGTCTCTGTCGTACTGTCTCTTGCTTACTGTCTCTGCCTTTGTCTTTGTCTCTGCGCATTAATGTTTTTTTTATTGTTTATTTGTCTTGTTTATTTGTATGTTGATGTTTTATCCCCTTTCTTCTTCTGTCTCCTTCATTTGTTTGTCTCTCCTCTCTCTGCTGTCTCCTTTTTTGTTTATCTCTTCATTCATGTTTGTCTCTCTTATTATTTTTATCTCTTCTTTTCTTCTGTCTCCTTTATTTGTTTGTCTCTTTTCTTTTTGCTGTCTCCTTGACTTATTTATATCTCTTTTTTTGTCTCTTAAATTATTTTATTTTTTATTTTCTCTTATCTTTACTTAATTTTGTTTGTTGCTGCTTCTGTCTCCTTCAGATGTCTCTGCTGCAGCACGTAGCACCGCCTCTGTCTTTGTTTGAAGCATTTGTTCGCTGCTTATCGAGACCTGAGGATACACCGCGACTTCCTATTGAGAGACCCTTTTGTTTCCTACTACATGAGGGTATATAAACAAACTCTCTTTTGTCTCCTTAACTGTCTCCTTAACTGTCTCCTTCGCTGTCTCCTTCTCTGTCTCCTTAACTGTCTCCTTCGCTGTCTCCTTCTCTCTGTCTTTTTATCTCTTTGTCTGTCTCCTTTGCTGTCTCCTTCTCTGTCTCCTTTTGTCTCCTTTATGTCTTTTCATGTCTCTGTGTGTCTCCTTTTGTCTTTTCCTTTGTCTCCTTTTGTTTTTTCGTGTCTCTTCTTCTCTGTCTCTTTTGTCTCTTCTATCTCTGTCTCCTTTAATATCTTTTATATCTGTCTCCTTCTATCTCTGTCTCCGTCTATCTCTCTCCTTTAATATCTTTTATATCTGTCTCTTTTTGTCTCTGTCTCCTTTTGTCTCTGTCTCTTTTGTCTCCCTCTCTTCTGTGCCTGTCTCCTTTTGTATCTGTCTATTTTTTCTGTCTCCTTTACTCTCTTTTGTCGCTGTCTCTTTTGTCTCTGTCTTCTTCAATACATTTTGTCTCTTTCTCTTTTGTCTGTCTCCTTTTCTCTCCTTTAATCTCTTTTGTCTCCTTTTGTCTCCTTTTGTCTCCTTTTGTCTCCTTTTGTCTCTTTTTGTCTCCTTTGTCTCTGCCTGTCTCTTTTTGTCTCTTCTTGTCTCCGTTTGTCTCCTTTGTTATTTTTATTAGTTCTATAACTTTGCGGCACATTATTCTTCTTTTTGTTTGTTTGCTGCAGACACGCAGCACCCGCAGCAGCAGCAGTGGCTGCGGCTGCAGGCAATTTGTCTCCTCTGCAGCAGCACCGCGCGTCTCCTTTACTCCATTACAGCAGCACTACATAAGTACAAACAAACAGGAGACACCCAGCAGCAGCAGCAGCAGCAGCAGATAGTCTTTACTCCTGTTCTAGTTTCACAGCCTCTCCCTTCGGACGACGGGCGGCAGCAGGAAGGCGCAGCAACAGAAGATTTCTTAGTAAGCAACAAATGCTGCTGCTGCTGCTGCTGCTGGTACTGCTGCTGCTGCTGCTGTTGTTGTTGCTGTTGCTGCTGCTGATACTGCTGCTGCTAGTGTTGTTGTCGTTGCTGCTGCTGCTACAGCACTTTGCTGCTATCGGTGTTTCATGCGTGGCTCCTTTGGGGTTTCTTCTGTCCGCTGAGCCCAGCGTGCAGCAGCAGCAACAGCAGCAACAGCAGCAGGAGCAGCAGCAGCAGCAGCAGCAGGGACTGCAACAGCAAAGCGGGGGTTTTAGTTGTGTTTGCTGCTGTCTCTTCTTTGCTGTCTTTTCAGGTGGTGAGGGTCTCCGCTGGAGCAACGCGCCGCCGCGTGGGCACCTGGACACTGCAGCAAATGCTGTGCGTCTCCTTAGGGTTTAGGGTTTAGGGTTTAGGGTTAAGGGTCTAGGCTTTAGGGCTTAGAGGTTAGGGTTTTGGGGTTTAGGGTTTGGGGTTTAGGGTTTGGGGTTTAGGGTTTGAAGTCTAGCGTTTGGAATCTATCGTTTAATGCTTAAGGGTTTGCAGTTTGGGGTCTGGGGTTTAGGGTTTAGGGTTAAGGGTTTAGGGTTTAGGGTTTAGGCTTTAGGGTTTAGGGTTTGGAGTGGTGCATGCAGGTACTTTTCAGACACTCTGCAAGCCCTTGCGGAAGTTCTGGTGGACTTAGATGCTGCTGCTGCTGCAGTAAGCAGGAGCTTCAGCAGCAGAAGCAGCAGCAGCAGCAGCAACAACAACACCAGCAGCAGCAGCAGCAGCAGCAGCCGTTGCAGCTGCTGCTGTAAGGCAACTGAAGCCCGGCCTTGTGGGGTGTCTCCTTCTTCTCCTGCTGCTCTTTTGCTGTCTCTTCTCGGCGTCCTCTCTGATATGCCTCAGTATACAGCTTCCTTTCAAGATGTGCTTGCTGCTGCATGCGCTCTCCTCACCGATGCACCCCTGCAGCAGCAACAGCAGCAGCAGCAGCAGCAGCAGCAGCAGCACGAGCAACAGCAGCAAGAGCAACAGCAGCAAGAGCAGCAACAGCAGGCACGTTCACAGGAGAGCTCACAGGAAACGCACCAGCAGAACGAGCAGCAGCAGCAGCAGCAGCAGCAGAACGAGCACCAGCATCAGCAGCAGAACGAACAGCAGCAGCACCAGCAAAACGAGCAGCAGCAGCAGCAGGACGCGCAGCAGCAGCAGCTGCAGCCGAAAGAGCAACAGCAGCAGCAGAACGAGCAGCAGCAGCAGGACGTGCACCAGCAACAGCCGAACGAGCAGCAGCAGCAGCAAGACGAGCAGCAGCAGCAGCAGAACGAGCAGCAGCAGCAGAGCGAGCAGCAGCAGCACAAACAGGCCGTGCACGATGCAGCAGAACAGCAGCAGCAGCAGCAGCAAAACGCGCACCAGCAGCAGCAGCAGAACGCTCACCAGCAACAGCAGCAGCACCAGAACGCACAGCAGCAGCAGCAGCAACAGCAGCAGCAGCAGCAGCAACAGCAGCAGCAGGTGGGGGAGAGGGTCTCTGAGGAGACGGGGTCTCCTCAAGCAGCACCAAAGCGGGAGACATGCAGGAGACAGCTCCGCCGCTGTCAGATACTTGCTGCTGCTGAGTTGATGGAAGCCCTAAAAACACCAGTAGTAAGCAAACTATCAACCTTAAAGCTGCTGCTGCAGCAGCTGCAGCAGCAGCTGCAGCAGCCGCTGCTGCAGCTGCTGCTTACTGCAGTGCAGCTGCTGTTGAAGACGTGAAGTTGCTGCTGCAGTCTCTGCTGCTGCATTTGCTGGTGCTGCTGCTAGTTCTAGCTTCTTCTTCTGCTGCTGTTTCTGCTGCTGCTGATAATGTTGTTGCTGTTCTTGCTGCTGCAGCTGCTCTCTCCTTTTGTTGCTTCTCCTGTAATTTTCATGCAGAAGCGTCTCTCGTCTGTAACAATAGAAACCCCTCCTGCAGCAGCAGCAGCAACAACAACAGTTCCAGCAGCAGCAGCAGCAACAACAACAACAACAGTTCCAGCAGCAGCAGCAGCAGCAGTCCCAGCATCAGCAGCAGCAACAGCTGAAACAGAAGCAGAAGCAGCAGAACCAGACGCAGCAGCAACAGCTGCTGCTGCTGCAGCAATCCTTTCAAAAGCACTGGAGGCCTCGCAAGCAGGGTTTGATGCTGCTACGGGGCCCCCTGAGGCCGAAGAGGTGGCTGCACAGGCAGCGGATCCTGCTGCTGCTGCTGCTGCTGCTGCTGCTGCAACTCCTCTTAGGGGATCCATAGACAACCAAGACCCGCTGGAGGGACAGCCGAGGTGTCTGCTGCAGCAGCAGCTGGGGGCGCCTCCCTCACTGCCTCTAGACTCCAGCGGCAGCAGCAGCAGCAGCAGCTGCAGCAGAAGCAGCAGCAGCAGCAGCAACGGCAGCAGCAGCAACAGCAGCAGCGACTCCGAAAGCGAGACTGAAAGCCTCTCCCCACTCCGCAGCAAAGGGGTTCTTCAGATTCTGTCTCCTGCAGCAGCAGCAACACCAGCAGCACCAGCAGCAGAAGCACGTAGAGAAGCAGTGCCAGCAAAGGCCCCGCATGCAGCAGCAACAGCAACAACAACAGCAGCAGCAGCAACAGCAGAGTGGGATTTGTACGATAGCTCTGTCTTTTACTCTGCAGAAGAAGGAGACAGTTTGTCTCCTTTAGACTCTGCTGCCAGCTCTATAGAAGACGCAAGCCTCGGAAGGCTCATTCAACCTGCAGCAGCAGCAGCAGCAGCAGCAGCAGGGAATGCAGCAAGCCAACAGAAGACTCTTCAACGCCTAGAGGAGACTTACTCTGTCCACGAAATACGCAAAGTGCAGCGCATGCACAAACAGCTGAAGCGGAAGCTGCAAACCCTCATACAAATCGTAGAGCAGCAGCAGCAGCAGCATTCACAGCAGCAGCAGCAACAACAACAAAAACAGGAGCAGCAACAGCAGCAACAGCAGCAACAGCAGCAACAGCAGCAACAGCAGCAACAGCAGCAACAGCAGCTGCAGGATGACCAGCAACAACGAGAACAAGAGCAGCAGCAACAAGAACAGCAGCAACAACAAGTGCAGCAGCAACAACAACAAGAGCAGCAGCAGCAGCAGCAACTCGAGCAGATGCAGCAACAGCAGCAGCTGCAGCAGCAAGGGCACAGCGTAGCGTCTACACCGCCCGTCTCCTTTGGTGCTGCTGACGGTGAAGCAGAAGCAATAGGAGCTGCAGCAGCAGCCATAACGAGGCAAGCAACTGCTGCAGCAACAGTAACTAGAGAAACAGCTGCAGCAATAGCAGCAGCAACAGCAGCAACGGCAAAAGCAAAAGCAACAGCACACAAAGCAGCTGCTGTTGCTGCAGCAACAACAGCAGCAAGCATAACTGAACGGGCCACAATAGTAAGAAAAGAGGCGAGCGTCGTTGGTGCAGCAGCAGCAGCAGCAGCTGCCGCTGCTGCTGCTGCTGCTGCTGCAGCTGCTGGCACGCAGGCCCAAGTCGCAGCAACGGCAGCAAAGGCACAGGCAGCAAAAGACGAGGCAATTATTGTAGCTGCAGCAGCAGAAGCAGCTGCAGCAGATGTGGCAGCAGCAACTGCTGAGGAAGCAGCAGCAACAACAGCAGCAGAAGCAACGGAAGCAGCTGATGCATTCGCATTAGCGGCAGACTCTGCTGCTGCTGCTGCTGAGATAGAAGCAACAGCAGCAGCCGAAGCAGCAGCACAGGCGAGGCTAGCGGAAGAAGAGGCAATCGATATAGCAGCAGCAGCAGAAGCAGCAGCAGCTGATGCTGCGCCAGATGCAGCAGCAGCAGCAGCAACTGCAGCAGCTAACAGAGAAGCAAAGGATGAATCAGCTGCAGAACATAATATGCTAGGAGACACTGAAGCAGCAGATGCAGCTACCCAGGAAGGAGTAGCAGCAGCAGCAACTGCTGCTGCTACTGCAGCAGCACGGGGCCTCCTAATGCCGACGCCCCTAGCAGCATCAACTACAGCAGCAGCTCCACCGGACACTGCAGCAGAATGCTCAGCAGCAGCAGCAACAGATGCAGCAGCAACCTATGCAGCGCCAGAAGCGGGAGATGCAGCAGCGGCAGATGGAGCAGCAGAAGCAGCAGCAGATGCAGCAGTAGCAGATACAGGCGCAGCAGAAGAAGCAGCAGCAGCAGTTGCAGCAGCAATAGGTTCAGCAGCACCAACAGCAGATGCAGTGAAAGGCAGCGCCCGTATAGAGATTAAGGGAGAAGTAACCCTAGCAGCAGCAGCAGCAGCAGCAAAAACAAGTGCAGCAGCAGAAGCTGCAAGAGCACGGGCATCTGCTGCAGTAAGAGCAGCACAAGCAAAGTCCTCAGCGACAACAGCAAAAATCAAGGAAGCAGCAGCAGTGGCAGCAGCTGCAGTATTAGCTGCAGGAGCAGCTAAAGCAGCAGCGATATCTGCAGCAGCAGAAGCGGGAGCAGCAGAAATTGCAGCAGCAGAAGATGCAGCAGCAGAAGCTGCAACAGCAGAAGCTGCGGCAGTAGAAGCTGCAGCAGCAGAAGCTGCGGCAGCAAAAGCTGCAGCAGCAGAAGCTGCGGCAGCAAAAGCTGCAGCAGCAGAAGCTGCAGCAGCAAAAGCTGCAGCAGCAGAAGTTGCAGCAGCAAAAACCGCAGAAGCGCAAGCCGCAGCGACAGAGACAACTGCAGCAACAGAGGCTGCAGCAGTAGAGACAACAGCAGCAACAGAAACTGCAGCAGCAGACACAACAGCAGCAACAGATACTGCAGCAGCAGAGACAACTGCAGCACCAGAAGCTGCATCGGCAGAAGCTGGACCAGAAGCGGCAGCAGCAGCAGCAGCTGAAGCCACAAAGACTGCAGCAGCAGAGACAACTGCAGCAGCAGAGACAACTGTCGAAGCAGATGCTGGAGTAAGAGAAGCTGAGGCAGCCGAAGCTGCAGCAGCAGCGGCAGCCGCAGCAGAAGCTGCAGTAGCAAGGGCTGCAGCAGCAGCAGCGGCGAAAGTTGCAGCAGCAGAAGCTGCGGCAGCAAAGACAGCAGCAGCAGAAGCTGGAGCAGCACAGACAGCAGCAGCGGAAGCCATTGAGGAAGGCATGCTGCTGGTTTCTGGTGCTGCAGCAGCAGCGATTGAGGGGAGGAGACAGGTGTCTGAAGCAGCAGCAGATGCTGCTGCTTCTGCTGCTGCTGCTGCTGATGTTGCTCGCAAGGCAGCAGCAGCAGCAGAGCAGTGCCAGCAAGCAGAGGTTCGGAGTGCAGCAGCAGCATCAGCAGCAAAAGCAGCGGCAAGTATCACAACAGCTGCAGCAGGAGATGCGTCTGCTTTACTGTTGCGTGCAGCAGCAGCAGGGGAGCAGCTGCAGGGCACCGCTGCTGCTGCTGCTGCCTCAGGGCAAGAGGCTGCAGCTGCTGCTGCTACTGCAACTGCTGCTGCTGCTGATGCACAGCAGCAGCAGCAGCAAACACTTACGTTCAAAGAAGCTGCAAAGGCCGCGGCTCTGCGGGCTGAAGATAGAGCAGCAGCAGCAGCAGCTGCTGCTGCTGCTGCTTCCTCAGGTCAAGAAACTGCAGCAGCAGCAGCTGCTGCTGCTGTCTCAGGTCAAGAGGCTGCAGCAGCAGCAGCTACTGCTGCTGTCTCAGGTCAAGAGGCTGCAGCAGCAGCAGCTACTGCTGCTGTCTCAGGTCAAGAAGCTGCAGCAGCAGCAGCTACTGCTGCTGCTGCCTCAGGTCAAGAAGCTGCAGCTGCTGCAGCTGCTGCAGTTGCTGCTGCTGCTGGTGCGCAGCAACAGCTGCAGCAAACAGATACATTAATACAAGCTGCAAAAACAGCAGCTCTCCTTGCTGAAAATAGAGCAGCAGCAGCAGCTGCTGCTGCTACTCTGCTGGAAGAGACACAGCAGCAACACAGTGCTGCTGCTGCTGCTCTGCAGCAGCAGCAAACAGAAGTGGCAGCAGCAGCAGCAGAAATAACAGCAACAGTGCAAGCAGCAAAGAGCGAGGAGGCAAAAATCAAGGAGATCACCGCAGCAGCAGCTGCTGCTGCTGCCGAAGTGCAGCAGCACACAGCAGAGCTGCAGCAACAGAAGGAAGCAGCGGCTGCATCTTTGAATTCTGCTGCTGAGGCAGCTGCTGCTGCTGCGCTGCGGAAGCAGCAAGTAGAAGATGCATACATCATTGTGAAGGCAGCAGCAAACGAAGCCAAGGAAGAAGCAGCAGCAGTAAGACGAGAAGCTGCAGCAGCAGAGCAGCAGCTGAAGTTTAGTTCTGCTGCAACCCAACGCATGCAGCAAGCTGCAGCAAGTGCTCTTGCTGCTGCTACTACTGCTGCGCAGCAGCACAAAGAAGAAGCAGCAGCTCACGCTGCTGGAGCGCAGCAGCACGTGCTTGCTGCCGCAGCTGGGGCCAAGGAGGTGCAGCAGCAAGTAGCAGCAGCAGCAGCGGCTGCTGCTGCTGCTCAGGAGCAGCACCAGAAGGCAAATGAATGGGAAGGGCTTGCGAAGGCAGCAGCTGCTGCTGCTCAGCAAGCTGCTGCTGCTGCTGGGGAGCTCACGTCGACTATGCAGCAGCAGCACGCTACTGCTGCTGCTGCTGCTGCTGCGCAGCAACAGCAGCAGCAACAGCAGCAAGCCTTGGAAGCAGCAGAGCAGGCGAAACAAGCGGCTGTCGCAGCACAGGAAGCTGCTGCTGCTGCTGCTGCTGCTGCTGAATCAGCAACAGCAGACAGCGAGCAGCAACGGTCTGCTGCTGCTGCTGCTGCGGCGGCTGCTGCTGCTGCTGAGCAAAACGAAGACAGGAAGCTCCTGTGTCTCGCTAACGCGGCTGCAGCAAGTGTAGCCGACCTGCAGCAGCACAAAGAAGCAGCAGCAGCAGATGCAGCATCAGCGCAGCAACACAAGGAAGCAGCAGCAGACTGCGCAGCTGCCGCAGAATCTGCTGCGCTCAAATGTATAGCCACAGCAGCACAGCTGCAGCAGCTTGCTGACAGGACAGCAGCAGCTGTTGCTTCGGAGCGACGGCGGCTGCAGCAGTCCTGGGAAGCAGCAGCAGCAGCAGCAGCAAAGTCTCAGAAGCAAGTGGAGATGCTTCGTGCTGCAGCAGCAGCAGCAGCAGCAGAGACCATCGAACACAGCAGCGTCTCCGCTGCTGCGCACACAGAAGCCCTTGCTGCAGCAGAAACAGCAGCAGATGCAGCAGCAGCAGCTGCTGCTGCTGTGGGCGCAGTGCAGACAGCCGGAAGAATAGCAACAAGGGGAGCAGCAGCAGCAACTGCTGCTGCTGCTGCATCTCTGGAGTCATCCGAGCAGGCGAAACGTGCAGCAGCAGAAGCAACAGCAGCAGAAGCAGAAGCAACAGCAGCAGCAAAGAGAGCGGAGTCGGAGAGGAGCAGCAGCGCGTCCTATATTGCTGCTGCAGCGTCAGCAGCTGCAGCATCTGCAGCAGCAGCAGCGGAGCGCGCCTCCGCAGCAGAAGCAGCAGCAGCAGCTGCTGCTGCGAAAGCAGCAAGCAGCCAGGAAGCCTGCTGCACTGCAGCACGAGGAGCACTCACTTCTGTTGCTGCAGCAGAAGCAGCAGTACAAGCGGAGAGGGTGGCAGCAGAATGTACCGGCCTCTCCATAGCAGCAGCAGCAACACTGCAGCAGCAAACCTCCGCTCTAATAAACCCTCTCCCTACCCTCCCCTTAGGGGGCCCCCACCACGGGGGGGCCCCCAACGGGGGGCCCCTAACTGGGGGGCCCCCCGTCAAACCTGAGGGGGCCCCTAATGGGGGGCCCCCCCTTCAACCTGAGGGGGCCCCTATAGGGGGGCCCCTCGTCCAGGCAGCAGATATACAAAGTGCTGGAGCACCGAACGAAGAAAGCAGCAAGTGCAGCAGAGAAGGAGACAATAATGTTTATCTTGCTGCAGCAGCTACAGCAACAGCAGCAGCAAACGCAACTCAGCCTACTCCTTCTCCAGAAGAAACGGGCAAAACAAACAGACCCACTTCAAGCTGCAGCAATAGCAGCAACAGCAGTAACAGCAGCAACAGCAGCAGCAACCGCAGCAGCAGCACTAGCTTTGTCAGTGCACTTGCTGCTGTCCCCACAGAACCTGCACCATCGGAGACAGCCGAATGTACGCCAAGGCTTTGGGCGCAGTGCCCCAACAGCAGCAGCGACAGCAGCAGCAACAACAACAGCAGCAGCAGCAGCAATGAAAAGAGCACCAGCAGCAGCAGCAAAACCCCTGCCAACGCAAACAGCAGCAGCAGCAACAGCAGTAACAAGGAGGGGGTTTCACACGTCATAAGACGTAGGCCTTGTCCGGGAGACCTGAAAAATGCGGCCTCCTCCGCTGCTGCTGCTGCTGCTGCTGCTGCTGCTGCTGCTGCAGCTGAAACGTCTGCTTCCGCTGCACGGCTACTCCAGCGTGGCCTAAGCAGCCCACCAGCCTTCAACTGCAGCAGCAGCAGCAGCAGCGGTGGGCCCTTGCAGCAGCAAAGACAGCGCAGCAAAGACAGCAACAAGGATATAGGGGCAACTCCCTCTGTTAAGTGCAGCAGCAACAATAGCAGCAGCAGCAGCAGGAGTGCAGCCTCCTCTATTCATCGTCATCAGCAGCAGCAGCAAAGGCCCCCCGAACAGCCAAAACAGCAGCGAGAACAGCAGCAGCAGCAGCATCCGGGGGCCCCAAAGGCTGCAGCTGTCTCTCTTTCTCAACGCAGGGGGCCCCCCACGTGTTCTTTGGGCGTCCGCTCCGCTTTCTGGGGGGCCCCCCAAGGGTACGGGGGCCCCCGTACCCTTGGGGGCCCCAGTGTGTTGGGTGTGGGGTTTGAAGAAGAGACAGCTGTTCGGCTGTCTCTGCAGGAGACACTTGCAGCAGAAAGGAGACGGAGACGAGAAAGAAAAAGAGATATGCTTATACAGTCAAGGGTAAACTAGCACACAGCAAAGACGCAATAATATATATATATATATATATATATATTTATATTTATATATATATTTGTTTATTTATAACTTAACAAACAAACAAACACACAACAAAGACACAATTTAGAAGCAACAAACGCCCACAAGCAGCACCTGCAACCAACCCAAAGGGCCCCCAAAGGGCCTCCAAAGAATCCCCACGGGGCCCCTAAAGAGTACCCAAGGGGCCCCCAAAGGGGCCCCCCAAGGGACTGCACAAGGGCCCCCCAAAGGGTCTCCCCAAGGGGTCCCCAAGGGGTCCCCAAGGGGCCTCATAGGGATCCCCAACGGGCCCTCAAGGGGCCCTCTAGGGGCCCCCAAGAGGCTCTCTAGGGGCCCCCAATGGGTCTCGTAGGGGCCCCTTGGGGGCCCCCAGGGGCCCCCCAAAGGAGTTGTTCTGCATGCAAAGGCTCTACGGAGACGGGATAGAGGCTCCCTATGGAGCCTTGTTGATGTTGACGTTGTTGCTGCTGCTGCTGCTGCTGCTGCTGTGTGCTTCAGCGCTGCTGTTGTGGTTGTTTTTGCAGTCTTTTGCTGCTGCTGATGCTGCTGCTGATGTGGGTGTTGTTGTTGCTTCTGCACGTCGCTGAGGCTGCAAATGCTGCTGCTGCTGTTTGTGTTTGTTTATTTGCTGCAGCTGCTGCGACAGCAGGCTGCGCTTGCAGAGGCATCAGCGGAGACATCGCGTCGTTTGGAGGCAAACTTGAGAGAAGTCTCTCTAATGAAGGTCCCTTCAAAAAAGTGTCTCCTTTTAGCTTCTAACTGTCTCCTTCCTGCTGTTACTGCTGAGGCTGCTGCTGTTGGTGCTGCTGCTGCTGCTGCTGTTGGTGCTGCTGCTGGTGTTGCTGTTGGTGTTGCTGCTGCTGTTGGTGTTGCTGTTGTGGTTGCTGCTGCTGTTGCTGCGGTGGCATCGATGCACTTGCTGTTGCAGCTGCAGCAGCAGCAGCAGCTGCTGCTGCTGCTGCTGCTGACCCCTGAATGAAGCACTATTCACTAAGAGACCAATGGAGACACAAGGAGACAATAAAAGGAGACAATAAGACATAAAAGGAGACACAAGGAGACAATAGAAGGAGACAGTTAAAGATATAAGGAGACAATAGAAAGATAATAATAGACATAAGGAGACAAAGAGAGACAATAAAAGATAAAAGGAGACGATAGGAGATGATAGAAAGAGACGAAGAGAGACAATACGATGTAGAAAGAGACAATAAAAGATAGAAAGAGACAATAAGAAATAATAAAAGACATAAGGAGACAATAAGAGACAATAAAAGATAAAAAGAGACAATAAGAGACAATAAAAGATAAAAAGAGACAATAAGAAATAATAATAGGCATAAGGAGACAAAAAGAAATAATAAAAGACATAAGGAGACAGTAAGAGATACTTCGACACACCAGCGAAGGGACACTTGGAGACAAAAGGAGACAGAAGGAGACAGAAGGAGATAATAAGAAACACAAGGAGGCATTAAGAGACAGATAAACAAAATAAAACAAACACAGTAATAATAAAGTGTATAAGACTGAGACAGAGAAAGGAGACTAAAGGAGACAAAAGAAGAAGTGGGAGTCTTTTTTGGTGTGCAACAATTAAGGAGACACACGAGGGGGGTGCAGCAATCCCCTGCTGCAGAAAGGAGACAGTTGCTGCTGCTGCTGCTGCGTGTGCTGCTGCAGAAGGCTATGAGGTCTCTGCTGCAGTCTGCTGCTTCATTTAAGAAGACAGAGGAGACACCTGCTGCTTATTGTCCCCCTCCACCCCGATACAGAACCTCACGCTTCTGCGCTGCATGCAACAGCAGCAACAACAGCAGCAGCAACAGCAGCAAACTCGGCAGCAACAACAGCAACAGGCTACATGCACGCCACGGAGAAGATGCTGCTGCTGCATATACAGCAATTGGAGGTACAAAAAAGAACAGATATGAAACATTTCCAATCGAATAGCCCCTGCTGTTGCTGCTGCTGCTGCTGTTGCTGTTGCTGCTGCTGCTGCTGCTGCTTCTGTCGCTGCCGCTCACCATTTGCGGCTTTTGTATTGCTGCAGCATACCTGCTGCTACTACTTAGATTTGTTGTTAGCTGTGCTGCTGTGTGTGTGTTTCTGCTGCTGTTTGTTGCTGCTGCTTGTATGTGTGTAACTGCCGCTCTTAACCCTGCTGCTGCTGCCCCATATGCTGCTGCTGCTGCTGCTGCTGCTGCTGCTGCTGCTGCCAGAGGAAGGAGCAGCAGCAATATACCAGCAGCTGACGAGAACTCTTATGCTGGAGAGCGCCTCAAGGGCCTCAACCTCCCTTAGCTATCCCCTTCAACTGCAGCTGCATCCTTCTACGACACCACTTGCTGCTGCTGCTCCTGCTGCTGCTGCTGCTGCTGCGCCTGCTGCTCCTGCTGCTGGTCGTGAAGGAGACATGAACAGCACAATGCATAGCCAAGCAGCAACAGCTGCTGCTGCTTCTGCTGCTGCTCCTGCTGCTGGTCCACTCTCCACGCTGGTGTGGAGCCCCACAGAGCCAGCTGCGACAGCAGCAGCAGCAGCATCAACAGCAGCAGCTGCTGCTGCTGCTAATGCCCCTGCTGCAGTGTCGCCTGCAAGCAGCGATGAGGAGACAGTTAGCCTTTTGTATTCTGTCCCTGACGAAGGAGACCCTTCTATAGAGACACCAGGGCAAGCAGCAGCAGCAGCAGCAGCAGCAGCAGCAGGAATGGGGCCATCAGCAGCAGCAGCTAGATCCTCTCCCACCGCACAAGCAAAACGAAGCAGCAGCACCAACAGCGGCAGCAGCAGCTTAAGCGTCCAGGAGCAGCGAAGCCAAGCTCAAGCAGCAGCAGCTGCAGCAGTAGCTGCAGCTGCAGAGGCAGCTGCAGTTGCAGGTGTAGCAGCAGCAGCAGCTCTAGGCCAGCAGCAGCAGCTGCTGCAACAGCAGCAGCAAAACTATGGATCTCAACATGGGCCCCAGGAGCTGCAGCAGCAACTCGCCTACGGGGTGGTGGTCTCTCCTCAGCAGCAGCTGCTGCTGCAGCAGCAGCACGTGCAGCAGCAGCAGCAGCAGCAGCAGGGTGTTGGGGTGTTGGTGCGGCCCTCTTCTGCTGCAGTGTCTCCGCTTAGTTTGGGTGTATTAGCTGCGCTGTCTCTCCCCGTCAGCAGCGTCTCTCCGTCTCCTTTAATGAAGCCGCCGTCTCCTTTTGAAGGCAGCTTGCAGCTTGCTAGTTTGAGGTGTATAGACAGCTGAGCGGCAGCAGCAGCAGCAGCAGCAGTAGCAGCGGGAGCAGCAGCAGCAGCAGCAGCAGTAGCAGTAGCAGCGGGAGTAGCAGCAGCAGCAGCAGCAGGAGTAGGGTGTGCAGTAGAACAGATCTATTAGCAGCAGAGAGGAGACAGCTGGTGTGGGGTTTTAATTGTGCTGTCTCTCTGTCTCTACTCTAAAAATAAATGTGCAGCTGCCTAGACAGTACAAAAGGAGACAGGGAGTTTGGCTTCCTTGTGTCTCGTTTCTGCTGCATGCACTCATGCTTCTTGCTGCTGCTGCTCTCTCAGCAGCGAAAGACAACAGAATGCATGCAAACTGAAGCAAAACCACAAACCCCACAATTCACTGTATGCGCTGCTGCTGCTGCTGCTGCTGCTGCTGCTGCACTATCCTGCGTTCTCGTTTTTCTTCTTTGCCCTGAGCAGCAGCTGTATGCAGAGACAAAAACCTTTAAATACAACCTAATGCACAGCCGTTGCTGCTGTTCCTGTTGCTGTTCCTGCTGCTACTGCTGCTGTTGCTGCTGCAGCAGCCTTCCCGAGTCTTAGTTTTAGAGCGTATGCTTTAAGAGAAGCTAAGGAGACGCGGCCCCCCCTTCTCCCCAGAGCCGCAGGGCTTCATATGAAGAGGCCCAAGGATTGAATATTCATTCATTTAATTGTATATACACCGCAGCTATGCATGCAAATGTACCTGCAGATACACCGCAATTAAAGAATCTTCTTCATGCTGCAGGTTGTACTGAGTCTAATGGTTGGTAGGTAAATGCTGCATATTTTCGTTTATATTTACTTAAATTAAATATAATACTTCATTAAAAGCATTTATTTATTATATTTTTTTATATGCATTAACAGCAGCGCCCTCACTAACAGACTGGTAGACTCGGCAGCTGCAGCCGATCGGAGGGTTATGCGGGAGCTGTTTGTGCAGCTTCTGGGGCTTTTTAATTTATTTAATATATTTTTAATTAAAATAAATAAAATAAATGAATTAAATTCAATTTTCTGCTTCTTTTTAACCCCTATACACCCTGAAAGCTTCTAAACAAGCCCCAGGAAGGCTCCGTTTGTTTGTGTGTTTATACACCGCCCGCCCCACAACTGCATATACACCGTAACTCTTCTTATATCTCTCTGTTGTTTTCTTTTTTGTAAAGATCTCTTCTTCTCAAGCCAAGGGCTTGTCTTCTACGCTTTGGCCCGAAGGTTTATGGTTTAGGGTTTAGGGTTTAGGGTTTAGGGTTTAGGGTTTCGAGGGTTGCTGTGCCTTTGGGGCCCCCTCAATCTTCCATTTGTTTCTTCTTCTGTTGTTTGTGGATATTTTTGTGTATTTTGCGTGTCTTCCTTGGTTAGGCCTGCTAACCAGGGTTTAGGGTTTAGGGTTTAGGGTTTAGGGTTTAGGGTTTAGGGTTTAGGGTTTGGGCGCGATGTCGCTCTCTGGGCAATGGACGCCTACGGCGTCTGAGAAGGCGGGCTTAGCTATGAAATATTTGGTGGTGACGGGCGGCACTATGAGTGGGCTGGGGAAGGGCACAACAATCAGCAGCATAGGTAGGCTGTTGCTCAAGCAGGCTTTACGGGGGTTTCGGGGTCTACGAGGGTTTAGGGTTTAGGGTCTAGGGGGGTTTAGGAGGGTTTAGGAGGGTTTGTGGGGGTTCAGGAGTGTTTATAGGGGTTTAAGAGGGTTTATTAGGGTTTATTGGGGTCTATTAGGGTTTAGGCGGTTTATTAGGGTTTATTGGGTTTATTAGGGTTTAAGAGGGTTTAGGAGGACTTGCTAGGGTTTAGCATGCCTAGTGAGGGTTTACCTGGGCTTACGAGCATGCGTTTTGCGCTGCCTAGGGTTATAAAGGGTTTATAAGGGTTTAGTAGGGTTTAATAGGGTTTAATAGGGCTTACTAGGGTTTATGAGGGTTTATTAGGGTTTACTAGGGTTTATTAGGGTTTTTTAGGGTTTATTAGGGTTTTTTAGGGTTTGTTATGCCATTATGTTTTTCTAGAGTTTATTAGGGTTTAGTAGGGTTTAGTAGGGTTTAGTAGGGTGTACTTGGGTTGATTAGGGTTTAGTCTGGTTTAGTATGCTTTTCTAGGGTTTACGAGGGTAATTAGGGTTTATCGGCGTATATTAGGGTTTACTAGGGTTTATTAGGGTTTACTAGGGTTTATGAGGGTCTATGAGGGCTTTAGGTGTGGCTTAGTCGGGTATTGCAGGGTATGTTAGGGTTTATTAGGGTTTACTAGGGTTTATTAGGGTTTTATCAGGGTTTATTAGGGTTTATGAGGGTATATATATATATATATATATATTAATATATATATAATATACAGTACACACACATACAATACACAAACACATACACATGTATGTTATAATATATATCTATATACATAATATATATACATATATACATATATATACATAATATCTATATATATATCTATATACATCCTATATATATATATATATGCATAATATATATTATATATATACATAATATATATTATATATATACATAGTATATATATATGTATATATATAATGTATATATGCATGGATGCTGCAGGCGTGGTGTTGAGGAGTTTAGGGGTGCGGGTATCAGCGATAAAGATAGACCCTTATTTAAACAGCGATGCGGGGACAATGAGTCCTTATGAACACGGTGAATGCTTTGTATTAGATGACGGCGGTGAGGTAGACTTAGACTTGGGTAACTATGAAAGGTTTCTAGGGGTTTCGCTGAGCAGACAGCACAATATTACAAGCGGTAAGGTGTATAGTCAGGTTATTTCTCAAGAAAGACAAGGACACTTCCTAGGAAAGACTGTTCAGATTATACCTCATGTTACAGCAGCTATTCAGCAATGGGTCTTACGTGTTGCTCCTCAGCCTGTTCTTCATACAGCTGCAGATACACCTGAAGTATGTCTTATTGAGGTTGGGGGTACAGTCGGAGACATTGAAAGTGCTGTCTATTTAGAAGCTATTCAGCAGCTCAGCAGAAACTTAGGAAGAGATAAACTCTGCTTAGCCCACGTCGCCTTCGTCCCTTGCCTCGGAGAACAAAAAACAAAACCTACGCAACACGGTGTAAAGGTAAATCTTTATATATATAATAAATATAATATATATATTTATATATATTTATATATATATATATATAGCTATATATATCTATAGCTTATATATATATGTAGTTATATATAGCTATATATCTCTATAGCTTGCGTATATATGTATATATATATATATATATAGATTTATATGTATATATATATATATATTCATATATATATGTATATATATATATATATATTCATATATATAGGTATATATATATATATTCATATATATAGATCTATATTTATATGTATATATAGATATATATGCTACTCTCCTTTTCGTTTTATGCAGCAGGAAGATAATGATATTCATTTTGTGTATTTACTGTCTCTCTGTCTGTCTCTCTGTCTCCTTGTATATCTGTTGCTCTCTCTCGTCTTCTTGCTCTCTTCGTCTCTGTCTCTGTCTCTGTCTGTCTCTGTCTTTGTCTCTGTCTGTCTCTGTCTGTCTCTGTCTGTCTCTGTCTGTCTCTGTCTGTCTCTGTCTGTCTCTGTCTTTGTCGGTCTCTGTCTCTGTCTCTGTCTGTCTCTGTCTCTTTTGCTTTGTCTCCTCCGCTGTCGCTGTCTCGCTGTCTCCTTTTGTGTTTATTTTTTTGTCTCTCTCTGCGTTTGTTTTGTCCTGTTGATTTTGTCTCCGCTTTGGTTTTGCTTTTGCTGTCTCTTTTTTCATTTGTTTGTCTCTTCTCCTTTTGTCTCTTTGCTCTCACGATCCCCTCTTTCTTGTCTTTATTTGTCTTGCTTTATTCTGTTTGTTTGTTTGTCTCATCTGTCCCTTCGCTGTCTCTCTACTACTCTCTCTGTCTCTCTTGTCTCCTTTCTATCTCTTGTCTCCTCTCTCCTATACATATATATATATATATATATGTATATACATTTATATACAGAACATACATTTCTAAAACAATGCTTCCACCTCTGCTGCTGCTGCTGCTGCTGCTGTTTGCTGCTGCTGCTGTTGCTGCTGCAGGAGCTGAGGGGTGCTGGTTTAACCCCTGATTTTTTGTTTTGTCGCTGTGAGGAGCCGCTGACGGAGGCAGCTCGTCAGAAAATTTCTCTGTTTGCACAAGTCGAGCCTGAGAATGTAATCTATTTAACTTAATTTAATTTAACTTAATTTAATTTAATTTAATTTAATTTATTTTAATTTAATTTTAGTTAAATTCAAGAGAGAGGAAGGAGACAGAAAAGAGAGGGCGAGAGACACAGAGAGTGGAGGCACAGAGAGGAGATAGAGAGACAGCAAAGGAGACAAAGAGACAGAGATAAAGAGACAAAGAGAGAAAGACAAGAGACAGACAAGAGACAAGGAGACAGAGACAAAGAGACAGCATCTGCCTCCTTCCTCTTCATTTAATTTTTTGTTGTTTGTATTTTTTTGTTTACTTCTGCTTTTTCTGTCTCCTTTTGCTGTCTCCTCTTCCTCTTGCTTGCGTTGCGAGGATGTTTTACTGTCTCCTTCGATTGTCTTTGTCTCTTATTTTTACTGTCATTTCTTTTTATTTTGTTTTTATTTATTCAAGACGTGTGGGGCAGCTTGTTGTTGTCTCCTGTCTCCCTCTTTGTCTCCTTACTCTTGTTTTATTTAATTTTTAGAGACAGTTTTATTTGTTTTTATTTTTTATTACTTTCTCTCGCTGGGCTTTTCTGTGTTTGGTTCTGTCTCCTGTTGTCTTGTTGCTTTGCATTGTCGTTTAGCTGTCTCCTTTTTTATGTTTTGTCTCCTTTTCTTTGTCTTTAGATTTTCTTTGTTGTTTAACTGTCTCCTTTTTATGTTTTGTCTCCTTTTCTCTGTCTTTAGATTTTCTCTGTTCACAACTGCCAGAACATTTACCGAGTGCCGCTCATCTTAGAGGAGCAGGGACTGTCGGAGAGGCTTATTCAGGTTTGTCTCTTCTTGTGTCTCTTCTTGTCTCTTCTTGTCTTTTGTTGTGCCCCCCTTTGTCTCTTCTTGTGTTTCCTCCTGTCTCTTCTTGTGTCTCCGTTTGTCTCTCCTTGTGTTTATATGTATATATATATATGTATATATATACATGAGGGTTTATAAGGCTGACGAACCTTGTAAAAGATGTTCTGAGGGTTTAGGGTTTATGAATTATTTATAAATTGTTTTATTTTGTCTTAAAGGATGTTTAGGGTTTAGGAGATTATAATAAACGGCTTTTTATTAATACTTTATTGTTCATTATGAGGGTTTATATATATAATATATAATATATACATATATATATATATATATATTTATGCATGCATTACATATACATATATATACACTATATAATATATGTATGTATATATATATATACTTCCTTTCTTCGGTGTTTAACTGCATCCGCAAGAGCTCATTGTTTACTGTTTCTTGTCTATTGTTTACTGTTGATTGTATATAATGTAAATTGTTTATTGCATATTGTTTATTATATATTGTTTATTGTTTATTGTTTATTATATATTGTTTATTGTTTATTGTTTATTATATATTGTTTAGGGTTAGTTGTGTGTGTGTATGTTGCAGCGTCTGGGTTTGAACCGGAAGGAGCTGTCTGAGCGTGCATGCAGCTCTTTATCTTTACGAGTGTGGGGCCGTATGGCTGAGCGTTTGAGGGTGGTGTCTCCTGGGGCCCCTTCAAGTGTCTCTATAGGGATTGTAGGGAAGTACACAGGGCTAACAGATTCATATTTATCTGTTATTAAAGCTTTAGAGCATGCAACGATGGAGGCAGGGCTGGGGCTGTCTATTCGCTGGATAGAGAGCAGCAGTTTAGAAGGAGACAAAACCTCTGATCCCTCTGCTTCCTCCTCCAGCAACAACAACAACAACAATAACAGCAGCAGCAGCAGCAGCAGCAGCAGCAGCAGCAGCAGTTATGAGGAAGCATGGGCTGCTCTTCGAAGTGTAGATGGTGTTGTATGTCCTGGGGGCTTCGGTGATAGAGGCATAAAAGGCAAGGCTTTAAGCGCAGGCTACTGTAGAGACAATAATATAATAAACCGTATTTAGGAATATGTTTAGGGATGCAGACAGCAGTAATAGAGTTTGCGCGAAGCATGCTTAATCTTGAAGACGCAGACTCTGAAGAGTTTAACCCTAATACACCGCATCCTGTTGTTATATCTATGCCTGAGCATAATACTGCTAATAAAGGAGGGACAATGCGCTTGGGTAGAAGAGCAACAATCATTAGAGACAGACAGTCTCTAACTGCTGCTTTATATGATGAGGAGCCTGTTGTAGATGAAAGACATCGGCATAGATATGAAGTTAACCCTCTGTATGTACAGCAGATGGAGGCTAAAGGTTTAAAATTTGTCGGGCAGGATGAAAGGGGACAGCGCATGGAGATAGCTGAGTTTAAAGGGCATCCTTTCTTTATTTGCACGCAGTATCATCCTGAGTTCACATCTAAGCCTTTAAAGCCTAATCCCCTCTTCTTAGGGCTTGTGCTCGCTGCAGCAGGAAAGCTTCAAGACAGACTCAACAGCAATGGAGGCCGCTTAAGGGCAGGAGCAACGTATGAAAATATGTGAACATTATCAGTAACATATATTATCAATATATATATATATATATATATATATATATATATATATATATGTATATGTGTATATGTGTGTGTATATAT